CTTTCAACTATAAACAAAGTTACATAATCAGTGAGTAATGAGGATTGTGTTTAATTAAAAAAAAAATTTAAGTTTTTCTACCTGTCTAACTGTACGAAGTCGGGGGAAAAGGGATTGTTGGCAATGGAGTTTGACAGCCCCAGTGCTAGCAATATGCCCTATTAGGTCCACTACCACGTGGTTCCCCCTGGAAACCATCGCGAACAATTCTTAATGAATTCGTCACGATGGGCTAACTGACCTGCTTCATCCACACCTATCATCCTTCACTGGTTTCCCGCCGGTGTATATCGATAGCGCGGGTGGGGTTACCATTCCATTATCACCATTTAAAAAAAAAACTGTACGAAGTCGGGATAGATAACTAGTATTAAATAGCTTTAATGAAGAATAAATCATCTAAAACTAAAAGATAAATGATAACGGAGACAGTAATATATATTAATGTACAGTTATTTTTATGATGACTCACCAAAATTGATAAGGTCACTCACATTAGTTCTTGTCACCGATGGACATCAGGCGCGGGCTGGTAATCTTTCTAATGCCGCTGATAATCCGCCGCGAGCGAGTAACTGGCGAGCACCGGCTACACCGCACCGCACCACGTACCTAATGTCAAACGTACCTAATGTCAAACGTACACTGAGATATCAAATAGCGAATGCTTTGTAAGCGTTGTGTAATTTATTTAACTATCAAGTATAGAAATTTATTTATTTTTGTTTACTTTACTTCTTCTATTCTCTATTCATTAATAGAAGAGGCCAAATGCTGGGCCATCTTGTTCGAAAAGACGATTTTTTAAAGAGCATTATAGAAGAGAAAATAGAGGAAAAAAGAGGATAGGAAAGACGGAAGAATAACTACATGGGACAGATAAAGGAAACATTAGGTGTCATGTCGTATAGGGAGGTCAAGGATATAGCCTGAGATAGAGCTGGCTGTAAAAAAATGTAGGAATTAGTTGAACCGACAAGAGGAAACTTTTAAATGAAAAGAAGAATGATATACTTCTACAGAATAATATGGACTGTACTAGTGTATATAAATATCCTAGGGTTAAATATTCAGCCGCAAAAAAAGAAAATGAAAGTAACCGACATAGCCAGAAGGATAAGCAAACTAAAGTGGTAATGGGCTGGTCACATAGCTTGAAGAACCGACAACCGATGAGGAAGAAAGGTTCTTGAGTGTAGAATGACTCCGAATGGGCAAACGCAATGGAGGACAATTCCTATTAGATGGGGTGATAACCCATGTGTATTGCATGGAGTCTGTGGATGTAGGTGGCTCAGGGCGGTTCTTTATGGCAGTCTATGGGGAGGCTAATGGCTGAGATGTTGATAATAAGACACTCGGCCAATAATAAATATTTACGAATAGTAATAAATAAAGTTCAAATTTTAATTATCTTCTATATAAGTAAATCGAAATGAGTCACTAGTTAGTTTTTTGCGAGTTCTTCTCTGCAGATAACAAAATTTCAAAACCAGCAGTAATATCTAGAAAATGACGAAGTAAAAAAGACTGTAAATATATTTATTTAATTAAAGACGAATTGTAAATATATTTATTTTATTAAAGACGATTATTCTATTTTGCATTATATCTATATGACATGGTAGACGTTACATCTAAGTAGCATTTTCTACCAGAAAAGACATGACGAGTTCGTTGACGGTAAAAAAATTAAAAATAGAAAAGTAATCTAGTTTTAAACTTATCTCTAAATTTGCATGTTATTAATTTAACTATAAATGTTATTTTAGAGATAGAGAACAGCGCCTATTGATACGTATAGTCCAAGCTATATATGTACATATTTTCCTCAATAACCGCCAAGCATTACAAGCCAGGCGGACAGTGCTACATTTCTAAAGCAATTAACAATAATTAACGTACAATTAAACTTGTTAAATGTAGCCACTAATGAATTACGAAGAAAAACAAAATAGCTTTTACCGCTTCCCAATGTGGATTAGATATTTACCGCTGACTTTTATTGTACTATTCCCAAGTGGTATTGTTGCACTAAAAAGACGTCATTTTTGAGTTGTAAAAATCACCTCGCTAACTGAATTGTTATAACGGATTTTTTTTTCGTTCCTGTGGAACTTGTAAAAATTATTTTTTTATCGAATCATGATTAGCTTATCAGTCGTTAACTATCCACTGTTGAACACAAGCCTTCTTCCATAAGGGGAATTTTGCCAGTAGTTGCTACGCTTGGCAGGCGAATTGGCAACCACAGTTAGACTGTTGGTGATTCATTAAAAGGGACTCGACCATTGAGGGAGACTTTGTACAAAAGTCGATTGCTTGGGTACCTCTGTCCCATTCGTGTTTCTACCGTGTTTTGGTTTGTAGGGTGGGATATGGCGTGCATTTACAGGGTACAGAGGAATAACACCTGAGTCCTCAGGAATGGCAACACATGGGGGGTATCATGGGTGAAACAGTATACTCTGTTATGTGCATGGTACTGCTCATGTCTATAGGCGACGGTTACCACTTTCAATTAGGGGGTCGTCAGCTTGTTTGCCATTCTAAGTTGTATAAAAAAAAATAATAAAATATTTTCTATTGACCACACGTAATCACAGCAGTAGCTTCTTATGTTACTTCATAGCTCAGTTAGTTGCCAACCGATTTGGAAAATACTTTTTTCTAAAATCACATATGGACTGGTTCCGTGGAAATTTTATCAAAACCAGTTTAGTAATTTAATTAAAAAAAAAAACTAACTTCGTTACAACTTAAGTCGATTTTTCTTTGTGGAACGCAATCTTAACTTAAAGTGCATGTCATAATAGGATTTTTTAAAACTGATTTTAAATATGCAAATTTGAATCTTATGTAACTCGTTGTAAGGTGTATCGACAAAAATGTTTCCGATCGACGCATGGCCCTGTGGAAGCCACGCACGAGACAACCGTTACGTGAGATTCAAATCCATGTACTTATGCCAGTAAATGGCTATAAACCCGGAATGACCTCATTAACGCTGCGACGTAACTACGTATCAATTTCGTGTTTATGACTGTATTTTATATGATGGGGTTTCGAAACTAACGGCCGAGCGATTTAATTTCTTACTATGCATTTTTTTTATTACTCCCTGTGTATTATATAAGCTGTTGAGGTAAACATTATTACTTTTATACGATACGTATTTTAATTTGTTCGGAAGTGTTATATTCGGTTGTCCATTATAATATTTGTTTTTTACTTAGAATGGCAAGGGTGGGATATGCCGTGAATTTACAGGGTACAGAGGAATAACATCTGAGTCCTCAGAAAAGGCAACGCATGGGAGGTATCATAGGCGTAACAGTATACTCTGTTATGTCCATGGTACTGCTTATGTCTACAGGCGACGGTTACCACTTTCCATCAGGTGGGCCGTCAGCTTGTTTGCTATTCTAAGTTGTATAAAAAAAAGATTGTATCATAACAGATTAATTATTTTATAATAGTTATTGAGTTTAAAACAATTTTATAACTTGCTCTAAAATATATAAATTTGTTATTTTATACATTTATTATTTTATAATTATTCACTCCATATTAATTCTCTTTTATTTAAAGAATTGTCTATGAAAGGAAACTTAACACTGAAACAACAATGATAGCGAACGATAATCTAATAATCTCCGGTGGTCCCATCTCTAGTAAGCCCTGTCAGGTCGACCTCCACGCGGTTCCTCCTGGAAACCATCGTGATGAATACTTGTTGCATTCGATACGATGTGCTAACTGACCTGCTTCGTTCTCACCTACCATCCCTCACTGGTGCCCCGCCAATGTATACCGATAGCGCAGGCAGGGTTACCATTTCATTATCATCCATTAAAAAAAAAATCCGGTATAGACACGAGCACTGGACATTTAATTAATACATTTTACCGTCGCCCGGTGCGTACTCTTGCGTCGAACGCGAGCTGGAGTTTAACGAGCGTGGCGGCTCCACGTTAGGAAGTCATTTGGTACTTTTATGTCACGTCAAGCGCGACCTTCCGCATTTTACAACTATGTTGGACTGAAACGCGACAGACACGAGCAAGGAAGAATTCAGATTAAAAGCCTTTGCAAAATGGAGTGCGATGTTTTAATAGAAAATATATGACGGTATACCTTGCACAACAATTTGTATTTCTATTTGAGTTTCTTAAAATAACACCATTTCCAACAAATACGCGGCTTATTCGACACCATAGAAGATGCTGAAGCATCATTTTCTGTAAGCGAAGTATCAGTAGTATCAAACTCAATGTCTTCCGATGTTACATTATCTTCCTCAATCATTTTGTAAATCTAACAAACTTTAACCAGTAGAAACTACAATAAAATGTATTTTTATTTAAACCAGGCAAACTGCACTACATGAATAGCGTATACAAGTAATTATTACAATAATATTAATAGTAATGTGGGTAGTTCTAAAACTAGCGATGACATTGGATCGGCGCGTTTAGTTTCCTCTATAGGACGGGGTACAAAATTGTAATAAAAATATGTTATTCAGCAGTGAAATTAATAAAACATATTTATTAGATTTATTTTGGAGCAAAATGTTGTGTAGTGAGCTTTTAAAACAGAGCTCGAGTCGCGACTCGAGCCTTGGGACAAGGGCTCGAGTCTGGGCTCGAGCCTTCGCAATATGGCTCGAGGCTGAAGCTCGAGCCTTCATAGGAGACTCGAGCCTTCAATGAGTCGAAGACTCGGGAAACTCGAGCCTTTTAACAACTCTAGTTGTAAAGGGAAGCTAAAGAAATAATACAAAGATGTGTCAATATTGAATTTGGTAAATAATAATGTAAAAAAAAAACTACACGTAAATATATATGACCTGTACATTAAAATTATTCAAACATTTTTAAACTTAGAAATCCTGCCATTCAATGGAAGTTCAAACGATCTGTTTATGTTATTAATTTTAATATTTGTCTATTTACATATCATTATTATCTTACTAAACGTAAAAATGTCTGTTACAGCAAACGTTGGAGACCGGCGGGGGAGGGGTCGTCAACCTTGAAAATCTGGAGGCGAAGGTCAGTGAACTGTAGTACTTTGCATACATGAGTTAGGATAAACAATGTTAATCCTACATATTATGGTCTATATATTTACGAAACATCATTCAAATTCATTTAAACAAATAAACATGTTTGCAAACTTAAAGATTAATAATAATAGATACTAGTCAACAATGTTTATATGTAGTAACAATAAACATTCTTACTTGAACCTTATTACAAAGAAAATAAAGTTTAAATTCATCAAAATAATCATAACAAATAACTTTAGCTAACAAAAGACATCAACGCGTTCGTTCTCATAGACAGGTATGGGAAATGGCTTATATAAGGAATTTTATCCAATCTTTATTTAAACAAAGATATTTTATTGAAATATGATAAAAAATAATCATAATTTAGATTAACAGAAATTAGGGCAATAAAACATTTGTAAATAACGCGAAAGATTCAATAAAAAAAAAACACTTCAACGCCTGGAATTGTTAGTTTTTTTACTTCTTAGATAGATAATTTATTATTAATAATTAATATTAAAAAAAATAATAAATAGTTTATTAATAAATAACTTAGTGCCTTAATTGTTCATTATGAAATTTAACAATATACACCTTAGAATGGCAAACAAGCTGACGGCCGACCTGATGGAAAGTAGTAACTGTTGCCTATAGACATGAGCAGTAGCATGGACATAATAGAGTATACTGTTTCGCCCATGATACCCTCCCATGTGCCATTCCTGAGGACTCAGGTATTATTCCTCTGTACCCTGTAAATTCACGCCCCCACCCTTCAAACCGAAACAGCCATGCAAACACAACTGCTTCACGGTAGAAACACGAATAGGACAGAGGTACCTAAACAATCGACTATTGTACAAAGTCTCCCTCTGGTACTTTCTAACAAGATGTCACAAACAAAGCTACAGGCAGAGCTTATAGTATACACATAATTTAATGGAAATTTAATGGTTGTGAAGCAACAGCTCTCGAGTTTTGTTTTAATCGATTTCCTTCAATTGTGTAGTTCCCGTCCAGTGGGTACGCCTGCTTATTGTAATCCATTTAATGCAATCACACTCGCAACCATATCATGCCGCATACACCTACATGACAGTTTGATTATCATAATGTATATATAATTGCTTCCCGCTGTTTGTACATCTACACTAACATAATACGTTCGGCGCCTGCCATGTTATTATACAATGACCTTAATTAAAAATTAATTAAAATTAATCAGTTCAATTCCATTACGATTGCAATAGATTAAAATTAATTAAACTAATTATTATTAATTATCATTATCATTATACGACATAATGTGATAGAAAAGTTAAGAAGTAACCGTTTATCCTGGTATGGGCACGTGATGCGCGGGAATGTGGAGCATATTTTAAAGAAGGCATTAAGAATGTAAGTAGATGGTTATAAGAGCGGAGGGAGAACTAAAAAGACATGGATGGATTGTGTGAGCGACGATACGGCCAGAAGGGGAGTGAATGCGGATTTCCGTAATTTCAGTCATTTGACTGGGAATAGAAAAGAATGGAAGAGGAAAACATATTACGCCGACCACAAATAATAATTAGGATAAGGGTAGGAAGATGATGATTATCATTATACGACATGACGATTTTTTTAAGAGCATAGTAGAAGGAAAAATAGAAGGCAAAAGACGGAGAGGAAGACCGAGGAATAACTACATGGGACAGATAAAAAAAACACTAGGTGTCATGTCGTATGGGGAGGTCAAGGATATGGCCTGGGATAGAACTGGCTGGAAGAGGATACATAAATTAGTTGCACTGACAAGAGGAAACTGTTAAATGAAAAGAGAGAGAAAGAGAGAGAGAGAGATATGTTTTTTTCAACTTTTAACTGTCCACTGCTGAATATAAGCCTCCCCCTTGAGGGTTTTGCCAGTAGTTGCCACACTTGGCTGGTGGATTGGCAACCGCAGTTAGGCTTTGGAAATGTTTTAAAATGGACGCTGCTGCTCTTCCTTAGCCCTCCCTTAGTCGCTTATTACGACACCCAAGGGAAAGGAAGGCGTGGCCAGTTCTATGTCGGAGCACTTTTTTTTATACAACTTATAATGGCAAACAAGCTGACGGCCCACCTGATGGAAAGTGGTAACCGTCGCCTATAGACATGAGCAGTACCATGGACATAACAGAGTATACTGTTTCGCCCATGATACCCCCTATGCGTTGCTATTCCTGAGGACTCAGGTGTTATTTCTGTAAATTCACGCCATATCCCACCCTTCAAACCGAAACACAGTCATGCAAACACAACTGCTTTACGGTTGAAACACGAATAGGACAGAGGTACCCAAGCAAACGACTTTTGTACAAAGTCTCCCTCTGTACAAAAGTTGTTACTGTATAGCACTCTTAACAGCTGAACCAGCTTCTGTGTTTGGTGTATACCTACTATGTATATGAATAGAGATGGTCATAGGTTACTTTTATATCTCGATCACGCGGACGAAGTCGCGGGTAAAATTTAGTTTTTATTAATGGATATAAGGGAGCTCCATTTGCTAGCAATATATCCTGTCAGATGTCTCGATGTGGTCTCCCCTGGAAACCGTAGCAGTTACTAGGTACATCGCTAAGATGGATCAACAAATTTGACTTGAATATTATCATATCCTCCTCTGATGGTACCCCGCCGGCATATATTGATAGTGAAGGAATTATTAACTTTTACCCAGGACTTTGTCCGCGTGATCAGGATATACTTACTAACCGAGATAATGTAATAAGGTAACAAACTGACAAACTCACTTTGACATTTATAATAAGAGCAAAAAAAAAAAATATTCCTACTGGAAAACAAGTCCTAGTTGAAATCTTTAACATATCACATAATTTAAATCGTGACCATTTGAATAAATTTCCGAAGCCACTCGTTATTTACATCGCAAACTACACATTATTGGAACTGCATATAATCTCAATGAATAGTAAAATAGTGTATACAATTTTATAATACTACTAAGACTTCAGGAAATCTGGAGATCCCATGTGTTGTAGGGAAATAAAAATACTCATAATATTTCATGAAACCCATAGATGTCTCTTTAAATAATAAATTTTCCGTTTGTCATCATGTTCCCCCAGCAACGTTATGTTTAGTTGATTGAATAAATTTCTAAAAACTTCATAAATTTCTTAAAAGTACCGCTACCGCCATGGTCGCTTGGTAGAGAACGCCATTAGCTATTATGCCCACCATGTGTGTCTTTGTTATGTACATGAAAGGTAAATAAATAAATATCTGTAATTTTTCCCTAATTTAATAGATTTAGTTTAGTAATACAATGTATTACTGAACTATTGCAGTATTTTGGTTAACCAAAATACTTAAGCCATTATTTTTTTATGAGAAGTAAGAAAATATGTAGGTTAGAAAATTTGTCATCTTCCGTGATATCTCTAAGTATTTTACGAAATTCATTACAACTATATTACAACAACATAACCTTCAAGAAAACAGCATATTCCTTTTTAAAAGGCCGGCAGCACGCCTGCAATGCCGCTGGTGTTGTGGGTGATCATTGGCGGCGGTAGTCACTTACCATCAGGTGAGCCGCGTGCTCGTTTGCCCCCTGTGTTGTAAAAAAAAACAACTAAATTAATCCAAAAAGTGGTATAAACCAAATTTATTCAAATAATATAATTAATTTGTTTTACAATTGTATTTATCATATTTATTGATATTATTCTTAATTCCGGCTATATTGTGTATATATTTCCAGACTAAGAATGTAACTTTTAAAATATTTATACTCCAATTTTTTTATATACCACTGAGGTGGCAAACAAGTATACCATCCACCTGATGGTAAGCGGTTACCGTAGCCTATGAACACCTGCAATATCAGGGGTATTACGTGACGTTACCTACCCTGAAGAAACCTCTTTACCAATTTCACCTAATTCCTTAAAATTGTTCTATTTCTCTTCATACTGTATAACTATGTTAAAGTGAATGCTGTGAATACCTTTAATAGGCATGTGTATTAATATTGTATTATATTTAATGTTTGTTATATGTGTTATAATGCAATATGCTGTTAGTGTTCCTTAAAATAAATAAATAAAATATGTGGGACACTTTCACTGAACTACCAATAAAAAAAAATAGCAGCCCATATATACGGAACCTCCACGCAACAACATCCTACAAAGGAATCCAGAACCGCTACACTTCAAAGCACGACACTAAAATAGAGATGCATGAGAAAAAAGGGCGTATAGAAACAGTTAGATAGAACAATCGGTGGGAAACTGTTGCGATATATGTTTATATAGCGTACAGTAGGATTATATGGCGTACAGTGGGATGATGGCGTGGATCCCGTCGCGTGATCGTGACGATATCGTGTGCGTGCGCGTATTATTCACAGCCACCCACTGGCGTCGCAGATTGCATCTCGGAATCACCGGCGAATTAAAGTTTCTATTTGCATTAAACCGAGCGCATTAGCATCTTTAAAGCTAGGATGCACCTTGGGAATGTATGTGTGTGAATAGTTGTTTGTTTTTTGTCTGTATGTACATATATTGTAATATATTTTAATTTATTTTTTATTAGCATATTGTACACTTTGTTTTGAATACATATGATAAATTGGCCCAACCTAATGGAATTGGGGAAAAGGGATTGTTAGTAATGAGACCCCATTACTAGCATTAACTGACCCATTGTTAGCAATACAACCTATCAGGTCGACCTCCACGCGGTTCCCCTTGGAAACTATCGTGGTTAATTCTAGTTGAATTCGTCACGATGGGCTAACTGATCTGCTTTCATCGTCACCTATTATCTCTCACTGGTGCCCCGTCAGTGTATGCCGATAGCGCGGGCGGAGTTACCATTCCATTATCACCCATTAAAAAAACCTAAATTAATAAAATAAATAAATAAACAATATTTATTAAACTTTAAAAACAATACTTTTTTATTTCATAACAATTTTTATATACTAAGAGACAATAAACA